GGGACGACTATCGATTCACCCCAAGATGAAGGAACTTCCTCTTTCGACCAAATTTTCGAGAACAAAGCAGTGAGTTCTCGAACCAGCGAAGCGCCACCATCTTTAAATTGAGCTGGAGGAAGACCATCAGGGCCGCGGGCTTTATAACGCTTCATGCGCCGGAGCTCTTGCTCGATTTTTTGGTAAGAGGGGGGATCTGTGGGGGTAAACCACTCGGCCCCAGCGCGAGCGCCAGAGGTAGCAGATGGAGCTGGGGCCAACAAAACTGCGAGCCAAAATGTTCGGCCCATTGCTCCAACCGTCGTTGAAGATTGGTGATTAAGGTGCCATTCTCTTCGCATATTGTTTCGCTTGTACCAGATCGAACACCTTCGGTGACTCGAATGAGATGGAAAAATTTTCTGGTATTACCAGAGAGACTAGCAAGCTCCATCTCCCTAGCACGTTCACACCACCAAGCTCCGCGGTCTATTTGCAGACTCCTGCGCAACTCTCGACCAAGGGATTGGCGTACTTCACTGTGTCTGGAATCCGATGGGAGCAAGCGGTGTCTGTCCATCAGCAACAAGGAGTCGGCGGAAATCCAATGCTTCGGTGGGTGACAGGTAACTCCACAAGTGTCGATACTGGCGAAAACTAAAGCATCTTTGATCTGCGCCCACTGCGAATCGAGATCACCGTCAATAGTTGAACCAAGCAATGTTGACAGTGAAGCTTGGTACATGGTTAAAATCGCAGGGTTTTTTAGATTTGCGACCTCGCTACACTATGACTTGATATCCATCGTCACCCGACATCGTCCTAAGGAGTGGCGTGTTGTGTCCAGTCAGCCGTCGCTGCCTCCACCAGCCTGGGTTCGACTCTCTACTGTCCCGTTCACATTTGGCTGTACCTTCTTGTTTAGGCAGTATGGTTACTAGTTGGCGCGATCCCAGGATTTCGTACAAATTCTGTGTAATTTCTACATTCTCCCGCGCTACATCACTGTCTGTTGGCCCCAGTTTTCAGTGCTGCTGCTCGGCGCACCGTTAACTGGCGCACCTTAAGAGATATGATCCACTTGGCTTGTTGGGACAATACATCAATGCCTCAAAAACATTCTCCTTCATCATCCTTCTGTTTCATTCTAGAATGACGCCGACTGGATGCAGTCATCATCATGCACGTTAGCTAGAGGTGGGTAACACCTCAGCTACTGTGCCTCAATACACAGAAAAAAGGAGAAAAAATGCAATTGGTGCAAGCCGGCGGAGCTACCGGTAACGGATGGGCATCGTTCCGGTAATCTACCAGCCGGCTACTGCATATCAAAGAAAAAAATTACTATGCAAAATTATATAAGGCTAAATAATGAGATCGTGGTTGGAGGGGGAGGCTAAGAGGGACGGGGTGGGACAAAGAAACTAACAGCACGAACGCCGCTGAGGTCGGCTCCTAGCCATATCAGCAAGTGTGTCCAACCAAACTTGTTCATCGTCTTTCGGACCCCAACCAGGGAGCCGAGACGCTCCAACCGAGTCCAGCTCAGAAGTTAGGGCCTTCATTCCTCTCGACCAAGTCATCACTTGGCCACCCCTCCTCTTCTTCCATCCACACCCCCGGCGCACAAACAACGCACATCGCGGGAGTCGGTGGGCTGGCATGCGTAACACGTGGCCGAGCCATCGGAGCCTGGTGCGTGAAATGACGGTGCTGAGCGGTTCATTTCCTTTTATTGTGCCGTAAACAATGCGTCGAACACGCTCGTTACTCACGCGGTGTTCCCACCAGATGTGAGCCAAATGGCGAAGGCACCGATGGTCGAACACAACCAGCCTCTTCAGGCCCGCTGTTTTAAGCTGCCAGGTTTCGCAACCGTACAGTAGGATCGAACGTTCCGCTGCATTGTACAGTCTACCCTTCAGGGCAAGAGTGATGTTGCGCCGGCGCCATAAGTGGCGAAGGTTAGCAAAAGCACCCCGAGGTTTTGCTATACGCTTCGTGATCTCATCCTTAATCCCACGGGCGCTGATACAACTTCCCAGGTAGTTGAATTTTTGAACGACTTCTAGCTGATCCCCACCAAGGATCAGCGTGGGAGGCGGTGCAGACCAATCTTAGAGGAACGCTTTGCACTTCGTGGGTGCGAAGCAAAGCCCGAAGTGACGGACAGCTAGTGCTAATCTGTCCAGTGCCGCTTGGCAGGTTTGTGAGCTGTCACAGGTTAGTGCAATATCATCCGCATACTCTAAGTCAAGAAGTCGTTCTCCTGGGAGCAGATCCACACCTTCTAACTCGTGTGCTGTGAATGCGATTTCCATGACTTCGTCAACAGCGAAGTTGAAGAGGCAAGGTGACAGTGGGCATCCTTATCTCACGTCGCTGGAGATAATAGTGGGCGACAACAGCTTCCCGTAAGCCCTCACTCTGCTCGAGCTACGCGCATATAATGCTCGGATAATATTCACATATTTCTCAGGGACATTTTTCCTGAGTAGACAGTCCCAAAGTGCATGTCTATCCAATGAATCGAAGTCACCTTTGATATCGAGGAACACGACAACGGTGGGCCGCCAATATATGTGACGGTACTCCAACAACTGAGGCAAGGTGAAGATGTGGTCAAAGCAGCCACGACCTCGACGAAACCCGACTTGCTGTTCACGAATCTGGCTTTCACGAGTGCCAGTCAATCTGTGAAGGATGACAGAGGCAAGCAATTTGGAGGCGATGGAGATCAGACTGATTCCTCTATGGCTGCCGCATTCCTATCATGAGCCTCCCTTGAAAATTGGGACTATGATGGAGCGGCTCCAATCGGTTGGGACAGTTTACTGCTCCCACAGTTTGACTGGTAACATGTGTAAATCATCCAAAGTGCAGGTATCCCGAATTTGAAGAGGGCTGGAGGAAGATCATCAGGTCCCGCGGCTTTATTTAACTTCAACAGTCCGATCGCACGTTCGACTTCTGAGCGAGATCGTGGATCCAAAGGCACAGCCTAGAGAGCGGTGCGGTCAGTGGCCGGCGAGAAATCTAACGATTCCGGCCGAATAAATTGCCTTTCAAAGTGCTGAGCCCAACGCTCCAAGCGTTTTGATAAGTTGTAGATAGGCTGTCCACTCTCGTCACGTATAGTTTAACACCAGGTCCTCTGCTGCCCGTTTCCCGTATCAGACGGAATAACTTACGATGGTTACCAAGGGCAGCGGCCATTTCCATCTCTGATGCACGATGAGACCACCAGGACTCGCGGTCTCTCTTCAGGCTAGCACGGAGTTTTGCCCGGAGCTTTTTGCGAGTTTCATTGTATTCGCTTCTAGCCGAAATATGCCGGCGAGCATCTATAAGTTCCAGAGACTGTGAAGAAACCCAATGTCCATTTTGGTGATAAGACATACCACATGAGGATTTTCCTGCTGCTAGTAAGGTCTGGTGAATATGAGACCAGTGACCTTCAATTGCATACAGTGGGCGTTTATCCAACTCGCTTGACAGCGTGCTTTGATAGGCATTCAGAACAGCTGGCTTCGCCATTTGGCTGGTGTCAATGCGCTCACAGCGTCGTCGTGGGCGTCCACCAAAACGCATCCGCAGGTCAGCACATACAAATGCATGGTCGGTGTCCACACCTGTGCTCCAAATCGAGCGACAGTTCTGGGCGCAGCCTCTCCCTTGGTAACTTATCGCAATGTGATCGATTTGCGTCCATAGGTGGTTCGAGGCTGGTGGGCGCCAAGTCACCCTCTGGCGGGTGCTGTGTCGAAAGTTAGTGCTCGCAATAAATAAGTGAGCACCTTCACACAAATGAAGTAACCGCTCACCGTTATCATTACGGGAGCCTATACCATGTTGGTCGCCCAGATGCAGCTCATCTGTGGATAATTTTCCAACTTGGGCGTTCAGATCCCCAGCCAGCACAACAGTGTCCGTGCTTCTTCTGTGGCTGAGGAGCTCGTTCAGTTGACGATAGAAGTCGTCTTTTATCGAGTCATCGCTACAGTTTGTGGGTGCATAGGAATCGATAACGAATAGACACCTGTTAGTCCCACGCGACTTCGAAGCTTTGAACGAGCCTGCCAATCGGACCGCACACATCCGGCTACTGAGTGGAATCCAATCAACCAGAGCAGCTTCAGCCCGGGGACTCAGAGCAATACCAACACCGGCTTGGCCGGTGCTCGAAGCTACATCGTCACCAAATAGGCACAATGAGAATGTGCTGCTGGTGTCACCTGAAGGGGATCGCAGAGTGAGTACAGAGCTCGAGTCTTGCAGGTGGGTCTCCGATAAGCAGCAGATATCGATCGTGAGGGTCTCTAATGTTCGGGCAAGTGCTGTCTGTTGACCGATCTGAATCAATGTGCAAACATTCAGGCATGCCAATCTGAAGGAGGATTGTGGGCTCTAAATAGAAGCCTTTGAACTGGACTTGAACTCTTGTTTGGACATGGGCCTATTGACAGGGCAGGAGTGACGCTCCGCGTTCACATGTGAGTTGGAACTAAAAGACAAGCGACTATTGAAGCAAGGTAGGGGAGGGCGGAGAATTTGGGGTTTTAAAACAGGGGGGTTAAAAGTGAAGCTCGAACGGGACGATAATGGTGGAAAAGCGCAAGTGGTGGAATAAGAAGACGAGAAGGCTTGAGTAGTAGCATCCAAACCCCTATCCACCCTGCCCGATGCAGCAGGTAGAGCACCGTTGATTATCCTCTGCGGTGGCCAGAGAATCAGAAATTTGTTTGAAGTGAGATTCATTGTATTGCAGTGAACGAGTTCGTTCGAAAATGCTTCTATCTATGAGTCGTCTCACACTTCTTAGGTTCCAGTTACTACTGGTCTGTTGAAGTTTCCCTTGTTACTTTGAGCTGAAGCACTTGACCAGCCGAAATCTTTTTTCATCCGCACATTTTTTCTGCCCGATCCCTAACACCGTCTGATCTCTGAGTTTTCCCTGTCCAGCGTGGTTTAGTTTGCCTCATTTGATTCACCACTTGTCCACTTTTGTGTTTTTGCTCAAGGTACGCTTTTCTTGAATATCCCGACGCCGAATCCGCATTGGCTGCACGAAAGGCCATACTCGGTCGCTTGTTCGGTAATCAGTCGCTAAATGTTCAGGTTGTCCCGCCGCAGTTTATTGTGCGACAAGGCAGTGAGCGAGTAGTGGATCGGACGCAGCTGTTCGTCACTGGTTTGCTACCCTCTGTCACCAAAGCAGAGTTGAAGCAGTTATTTCCGAAAGCCAGCGCCATCGACTATCCCTTCCATCCTGGTGGATATCCTCTCGGGTATGTCAACTAAACTGTCTTACGTACCAACTGGGTTTGTGCCTAGCTCATATTGGAACATTTCTACTCTACCGATGAAGTCATCTTTGTGTTGTTGAACTTTGCTTATCCTCTGTGTTGTGTATGATGTGAAACACCTTGAAGCCATGCTATCCACTCTCCCACAACCGCATTCGTTCTATTCTTGAGACAAATGCGTTCAACTCCTGTTTGGGGTTATTACACACCTTCTATTGTTTCTAGTAAGCATCGATTCTGGTTTTCGATGGCTACCAGCATGGCTTTAGTATCTCGCACTACAATTGGTATCTCACCAGCACACTAAGGTTTTCAACATACGAATGCATTTTTATCTTAACGTCTAAGTTCCGTCTTACTTCTGCGGCCGTGTCGTCCACTCCTTTGGTGTTTGCACTGTGTGACGTTTCTCCTCGCTTTGTTCGGTTTATATCTTCTAGTTCGGTACCGTTTGCCCAGTCTCCAACTGCACTTGGCAACAGACTCTTATTTCCCAATCGAATGTGTTACCGTACACATCCCTGGCTCTTCATTGTCTGCTCTTTACATACATGCACTTATTGTCACTCATCTGTACTGTACTGTACTGCTCAGTTTCTGCTCCCATTTTTTGTTTGTCCATGAATTCTCTGTAATGAGAGGTCTCCATATCCTGCATGTCTTTGTGTACTTCCCAGCTACGCCACGGTGAAGTTTGTCAATGAAGATGTCGCTCTTGAGGCGTTCACAGATGCCCATTGTCGGAAGATGAAAGGCCATCCTGTGTTCGTCAACTACGTTATTCACTCGAATAAAAATGAGAAACGCACAAGTGATGTCCCCAAGAGCAAACGACCCAAGGAATCCGACATGATTCGAAGAGAAACTCCGGCGAGACTGCCGAACCGCGAGAGTTATATCCCGAATGAAAGTGGTAACGGTGCGCCTAAAGTAAAAACCGAACCTGCAATGACGAGGCCAAAAGTGATCGTCCAGACTATCTTTGACGCTGATGAGGATATCGCCAATACCCAACGCTCTGATGTGCAAAACGATGATGATGAATTTCTGATCAAGCCTTCCGGATCGCCCACAGACCGAAAACCTAACATACTTTCTCGGCTAGTTCATGCTCAAAATCACACTATGTCCGACTCAGCTGAAGCCTCTAGTGATGAAAATGATGATCAGAGTAATTTGTCAAGATCTTCTGATCACGAGTCGGGATCGGAGTACTCTAGCGCCGAAGAGGGCTCCGAACCCGACGAAAGTGATAAAAGTCCCACTGATGTGGAGAAACAGAGCGGAGCGGAAGACGAAGAAAAGTCAGACTCACCATCTTCAAATGGTTCTTCCGGGGAGGATATTGATCGGGAGTTGAAAGCTGTGATGAAAGCACGACGCGGCGCGATGCGTTCACTGAAAACTGCCGGATCAGCGAAAAGTCAAATGACCGGTGGGCGCAAGATGAAGCCCGACCAAGTCAAACGTGTAGGCAAACCGCTCATGGTAAGTTTGCGGTTACTAATGACTGTATTTTAATCTAATTACATAACTTGGCATTGACATCACTTGCTGAAGCTACTCAAAGGTTTGATGCCACTCGGCAATGTTCCATAAAACGTTAAGTTTATACCGAATAAAGCTTACCATCTCAATTTCTTTAGACCTTATTTATCTAGTAGAAACCCCTTATTGTCATTTCATATAAAACATTTCAGATCTGTGTTACATTTCTGTCTTTTTGCGCCCTTTATTTTTGATTACAGTTACTATACGGTGACGCATGCAAATTAGGGTTCGGTAATACTCAGCTGATTTATCTCCTTCATACATTATCTTTGGTACATGATACTTGCTACTCTGCAACTTTTTAATTTTCCACAAATTCTCATCCGGTTTGAGGTGAAGATTGTTCCTAGGTAATTAAGAAAACTTTACTTTCCGTCGGAAAACACCAATACATTCTTTTATACCTAATGTGCAAACCCTCACGCATGAATATCGCATAGTTGAGTGGGCACATAATTTTCTAATACTCTCCGGGGTGTTTCGACATACTTTTAACCATCCATAGTATTAGAATAGAGTCAAACACTTCCGTTGGCTGACATAGTATTCCGGATAATCTAGGTTGGGCCATTTCATGGCTGAAATAGCAAACTTGCCTTCATGTCGCGTTCCAGATGATCTGGGCACATCACTTTTTACAGCACCAAACTGTTTAAGAGCTGATTCGTCATGGAACCTCATTTCACCATATCTTCAATAGTTTAGTGCTTAGCTTTCATGACTGATGCCAACTGTGGCTTGCGAGAATACTTAAAATATGCAATCTGAACTCTGCCTTAAACGACGCGACACACTTATTTCACTGACATTTCTGCCGCGTCATAAGTCGATCGCATTGTGATTGGCTATTTGACTAATTCCATTCTTCTCAATAACTTCTCGTTCTTGGTTACCTTCGTTTCGTAATGTCTGGTTGCGTATGCTGTATCTGACTGAATGATGGCTCCTTGTTCATTTGTACAGACAACTTTCCTCAAACAATTTTTCTGAAAGCCGGAAAACATATAGTTTACTTTTTAATTATTCCTCGAAGACAGCTGGTGCGTGAAGAAGACTGACGCAACCCGGTATCATAATTACTGCTAACAGAAACCATTGATTCAGTGGTATTAAAAACTGCTTTTCCTTAGCGGTCTTAACTTCTGTCTCAAGAAATGGACCGTTACCTGATTGATTCAAGTGCTTGACTGCTGTAATCCACAAATCAGCGGTTCATAACTGTCTAACTGTAGGTGACCTTGCACGTGACCAGTTCTTGTTGCCTAACATCGATACGTCAGTGCTAGGCTCAGCGGAATCCACGATACTTTTCTTCTGATGTATCGGTACTCATACGCATCCTGTTTGCAGCCAGCCAGCCTGTATCCTTAAGAATTTCAAACCTGTCTTGTAATCTGACGGCGCGGGTTCGCACCTTTATAGTGACCGGGTAATCTTCTTATCCCACGCGCAACTGATGGGTGTCGCGCGGCAACGAAATGCCTGTACTGCGCGTACCGGCGTACTGACTGCTGATGCCGTTTTCTTTTGTTTGCGTCCAGACCCGCCTCCATTATTTTATACATTTTTCGATTGCGAATTTCACGCTCCTTGCTCATAATCACCTAATATTATTCCCTGGTTTCTTTTTTCACCCCTCAAGCTCCCCGTACCATCGAAACGCCACAAAGTTTAGTCAAGCCTCCTGTAAATGCTTATTTTTGTACACAATAATAAAATTATTTCGAGGTACAATACAAAGCTTGTTTATTCCACGCGAGAGAACCAAGAGCATAGCTAAATACTGTGAACAGGGGCCTTTCTTTTTATTGATAAGGGAATGCTTCGATTTCCCATCCTCCGTTCCACCTTCTGTACGGAAAACAGAAATACGATCACAGTCCTCTGCGCGCCTCGCAGCTGCTTTGAGCCACCTGCGGGTCACCCACAGTCTCTATGTGTAGCTTCGTGCATCCATCCAACCAGTCGTCAAGTGCCTACAAATCCCAGTGGCAATGTGTACATACTTCACATTGCTGATAGTACAATTGATTTGTCAATGATAAAAAGCAAACGCTTGACAATTTCCATAGGTAAACTGTGAACCCCAAAAAATTTATCAAGAAGTTTATACACGATATTTGCAGTTGGAGAACACCTCAGCTATTGTGCCGCAATACAGAAGACAAGAAAAGGAAAACAAACAGTGGCACGTCGGCTGAGTCCCCAGTAACCGATTGACATCGTTCCGGAAAGCTAACAGCTGGCTGCCGTAAAAGAGAGTCATATTATGCCTAACGAGTGAGATGCTAAGCAGGAGGGGGATGAACGAAGCAACTTACAACACAAACGCCACTAAGGTCGGCTCCAAGCCATATGAGCAAGTGTGTCCAAGCAAACGTGTTCACAGTCCTTAGGACCCCAGCCAGGCAGTCGGCATGCACCAACCGACGCCAACTTCGAAGTGAGAGTTTTCATCTCTCTCGATCAACTCATCGCTTGGCTTCCCCTCCTCCTCTTCCAGCCGCACCCACAACGCGCAAACAATGCACGTCGCGGATGTCGGTGTGCTGGCATGCGCAACACGTGGCCCAGCCATCGGAGCCTGGTGAGTGATATAATGGTGCTGAGCGGTTCATTCGCTCTTCCTGCACCAAATACGCGACGTCGAACACGCTCATTGCTCACGCAGTGTTCCCACCAAACATGAGCTAAGCTGCGAAGGCAGCGATGATCGAATATGACGAGCCACTTTATGTCTGTCGACCTGATGGGCCAGATTTCACAGCCATATAGGAGAGTTGAACGGACGGTTGCGTTATAAACTCTGCCCTTCAGGGCGAGAGTAATGTCGCGTCTGCGCCACAGGTGGCGCAGATTGGCAAAAGCACCGAGCTTTTGCTATACGGTTCGTAACCTCATCTTCAATCCCACGGGTGCTAATATAGCTGCCCAGGTACGTGAATTCCTGAACGACTTCTAACAGATCATCACAAAGCGTTAGCGCAGGGTTGGGTCCCTGCCAATCTTGGAGAAGTACTTTGCATTTCGATGGAACAAAGCATAGCCCAAAACGATTGACAGCCAGTGCTAATCGGTCCAATGCTGCTTGGAATGTTTGGGAGCTGTCACAGATTAGGGCAATATCGTCCGCATACTCTAAGTCAAGAAGTCGCTCACCAGGAAGTAGCTCCACACCTTCTAGGTCATGTCCAGCGAACGCTGTTTCCATGACTTCATCAATAGCGAAGTTGAAGAGGAAAGGTGACAGCGGGCATCCTTGTCTCACACCGCTGGTGATACTGAAGGGTGGCGACAGTTTGCCATAAAACCTCACTCTCCCCATCAGTATGCGCGTACAGCGCCTTGATAATGTCTACATATTTATTAGGCACACCTTTCCTCAGCAGACAGTTCCAAAGTGCACATCGATCGACTGAGTCGAAGACACCTTTTATGTCAAGAAACACGACAACGGTGGGTCGTCAATAAACATGGCGGTGCTCCAGCATTTGACGCACGGTGAAGATGTGGTCAATGCAGCCCTGATCTGGCCGAAATCCGGCTTGCTCTTCACGAATCTGGCTTTCACGAGTGCCATTCAGTCTTTGGAGAATGACGGAGGCAAGCAATTTGGAGGCAATCGAAATCAGACCGATCCCTCTATGATTGCCGCATTCCAAACGGGAGTTTCGTTGAAAATTGGGACAATGACGTAACGGTTCCAGTCTGTCGGGACATTCTCCTGTTCTCAAAGTTTCACTATCAACTCATGTAGATCATCTACTAGAGCAGGTCCCCGGAATTTTAAGAGGGCTGGGGGAATTCTATCTTCCCTGCGGCCTTATGCCTGATCTCACCTTCGACCTCTTCGCGTGAGGGCGGTTCTAAGGGGCGCTCAATGCCAGAAGAAGAAACCGATAACTCAGATTGGTTAAACTTCCTTACCGTGTTCGGCCCAACGCTGCAAGGGTTTTGACAGGCTGTGGATCGGCTACCCACTCTCGTCGCGTATGGTCTCGCTAACACCAGGTCTCCTGCTGCCTGTTGCCCGTATCAGACGGTATAACTTACGATGATTACCAATGGCAGCGGCTGTTTCCATCTCAGATGCACGATGAGACCACCAGGTTTCGCGGTTTTTCTTCAGGCTAGCACGTAGGTTTGTCCTGAGATTTTTGCGAGATTCATTGTATTCGCTTCTAGCCGGAATACGGCGGCGAGCATCCATAAGTTCCAGAGACTGTGTAGAGACCCAATGTCCGGTTTGGCAATTTGTTTTGCCACATGAAGACACGCCTGCTAACAGCAACGCTTGACGAGTGTGCGACCAGTGATCTTCGACGGTGTTTAGTGGACGATTACTCGGCCCGATTTCAGCGCACTTTGATACACATTCAGAGTACCTGGCTTCGCCAACTCGCTGGTGTCAATCCGTTCACATCGACGTTGCGGACGTCCACCGAAACGCACCCGGAGGTCGGCGCAGACAAGTGCGTGGTCAGAATCCACGCTCGTGCTCTAAATCGAGCGAAGGTTTGGACACAGCCTCTCCAGCGGTAACTGATCACGATGTGATCGATTAGCGCCCATGGCTGGCCCGAGGCATGTGGCCTCCATGTCACGCTTCTGCCGGTGCTGTGTCGAACGTTAGTGCTCGCGAGAAAGAGGCGAGCATCTTCACACAACTGTAGCAATCGCTCACCGTTATCATTACGGGAGCATACACGATGTTGGCCGCTCAGATGAAGCACAACAGAGGACAATTTTCCGACGGGCGTTTAGATTGACAGCTTCTAGACATGTCTACAAGTGCATCCAGCCAAACGTGTTCATGATTTGTGGAACGCCAACCAGGGAGCCGAGAGCCTCCAACCGAGGCGAGCTTCGAAGTAAGTGCCTTCATTCCTATTGACCAAGTCATCGCTTGGCCACCTCTCCTCTTCTTCCATCCACACCCCCGGCGCGCAAACAACGCACGTCGCGCGAGTCGGTGGGCTGGCATGCGTAACACGTGGCCCAGACATCGGAGCCTGGTAAGTGAAATGATGGTGCTGAGTGGTTCATTTCCTTTGCCTGCGCCATAAACAGGCGTTGAACACGTTCGCTGCCCAATCGGTGTTCCTACCAGATATGAGCTAAACTGCGAAGGCATCGGTGGTCGAACGTAACTGGCCACTTTATATCCGCCAGTGGCCAGGTTCCACAACTTTCCAGTGAAATCGAGCGTACGGCTCCAATGTACATTCAAAGGGTATGTCGATTCACTGATTTGAAGGCACTTTTGATATCGAGGAACATGACAACGGTTGGCTGCCAACATATGTGACGGTGCTCCAACAGCTGACGCAACGTGAAGATGCGGTCGTCGCATCCCCGACCATGACGAAACCCTGCTGGCTCCTCACGAATCTGGATTCACGATTCATCTCTGATGCACGACGAGACCACTAGGATTCACAGTCTCTCTTCAGACTAGCACGGAGTTTTGCTCGGAGGTTTCGGCGAGCCTCATTGTGTTCGCTTCAGGCCGGAATGTGTCGCCGAGAAGACCCAATGTCCATGTTGGCGATTAGACTTACCACATGAAGTTTTGCCTGCACCTATTAAGGCATGGTCAACATGCAACCAGTGACCTACAATTGTAGAAAGTGAGCGCTTACGAAAATCGCATGTAAGCGCACTTTGATAGACATTCAGAAAAACTGGCTTCGTCAGTTGGCTGGTGTCAAAGCGCTCACACGGTCGTCGAGACCGACCGTCAAAACGCAGCCGCAGGTCAGCACATACAAATGCATGGTCGGTGTCCACATATATGCTCCAAATCGAGTGACAGTCCTGGACGTATCCTCTCCAGCGACAACTGGTCGCGATGTGATCGATTTGCATCCAAAGCTGGTTCGAGGCTGCTGGGCGCCAAGTCACCCTCCGGCGGGTGCTCTGTCCGAAGTTAGTGCTCGCAAGAAATAAGCGAGCATTCTCACACAAATGAAGCAACCGCTCATCGTTATCATTACAGGAGCCTACACCGTGCTGGCCGCCCAGATGCAGCTCATCAGTGGATAATTTTCCAATTTAAGCGTTCAGATCCCCAGCAAGCACAACAGTGTTCGTGCTTTTTCTGTGATGAAGGAGCTCGTTCGGCTGCGCGTAGGCAGCGATGAAGAATAGACACCTGTTAGTCCCGCGTGACTACGAAGTTTTGAACGAGCCAGCCAGTCGGGCCGCACACAACCGATTACTGATTGGGAGCCAATCAACCAGAGCGGCTTCAGCCCAGGGACTCAGGGCAATACTAACACCCGTTTGGCCGTTGCTCGAAGCTGCATCGTCACCTGATAGGCGCAATGAGAAAGTACTGCTGGTATCATTTGAAGGGGATCGCAAAGTGAGCACAGAGATCGGATCTCTTAAGTGAGCTTCTGATGGGCAGCAGATATCGATCGAGAGGGTCTCTAATGTTCGGGCAAGTGCTGCCTGTCGACCGACCTGTGGCAGTGTACGTACGTTGAGACATACCAATCTGAGGGAGGATTAGGGGCTCTAAATAGAAGCCGATTAACTAGGCTTGAACGCTTGCATGGACATGGGCTTGTCGACAGGGCAGTACTGACGCTCCGCGTTTGCATGTGAGTTGAAACTATACCGTTTCCGAGTCAAGTTAGTTAATATAGGAAACAAATTGGTTCATAAGCA